CCATCCCCTTCCAGAAGAAATCCTTCTCCTTGGGGTGTGATTTTTAAATGCAAACTTATCAAGCCAGAGTCTATACCCCAACCACTTCTCTTATAGGGCTCTCATGCTCTGGGCCAGGTACTATATACCCATCCTACATACTCCAGGGCCAGATACCAGGCAATGAGGGGAAGCCTCTTTGCCCACTAAATTATTCAAAATAGCCAATCCTAAGCCTGTTAACTCACCTCACCCATTTTTACTTACAGAAACCACAATACAGCCTCTTGTCCACAGTTCTCCCCTCCCTCTGCCTCATGACTGACCCAAGTGTTTCTCCATGTAGCCCCCTTGGCATGATGTATAGTCTTTGGAACTATGAGTGAAATAAATGATCTCTTTGAAGGCACTCTTACCAAGTCTAAATAATAATAAGACATATTAAAGCTACATTATCCAACAATCCTGGAGTTGGATATAGTAACCTGATGAAACTTGATGTCACTTCCCCTCAGGGAGTATTGAAATTTATAATTTCAATAAAGGCATGAGCACCTTTTAAGTGTATGTAGAGATGTTGGGCAATCAAAGTGGTGGACTATAGCAAACATTGTTGGTTTTCCATTCAACATCCTTTACTATCTCTCTTCAGGCAAACCACTAGTTTTATTCAGGTAGTCATCCTTCTCTACTGACTCAAGGGATCATGACCCTTTTCCTCTTTCAGCACTAAATTCCATTTGGACTGAGCTAGTCACAGTGGTCCCTTTCCCCTTGCCAGTGAATGATTTAGGCTTGAGCAGGGATCCCAGGTATGGACAATAGGACATGAGGAAAGACGTTCTGGAGGAAAAATGTTCCCCTGATTGCAAAGAGGACACTGGAAGATGTGGTTCTTTCTGTTGCTGGACATTACTGGGCTGATAGGGATACAACTGCAGTAGTCATTTTACTCCTAGAAAACCCGAGGATAAGGACAATGGCAAGAAATTATAACAAAAAACTCACCAGAAAATGAAGCCAGAATGATAATGTATCATGGTTGTGGCCCAATCTTCCTTTGGATTTCTTGAACTTGAGTTAGTACATTTTCTTATCATCTAAACCAGTTTGAGTCAGGGTCTTTTGTTACTTGAAGCCTGACTCTAAAACTTATATATGTGATCTTTCATCACATGACTTGCTACATTTTAATTACTTATGTAAAGCATGATTGTTAAATAAAATTTTATTTGTCCACTTATATCATACAATGTTGATTATAGGAAATTCTGCTTGTTCACTTAAGCCGCAAGTGAACTCATTGGCCTTTTGTTGATTAATCCCTCACTACAAATCCTGGATGAATGTGCTTATCAAAGAGAATCTTCACTAGCTCCCACAGTTGTCGGGAATAAAGCTGTCTCTGATAGCAGATACAAACATTGTACAAAGCTTTGTCCTTGCACAATTTGCAAATTCCTCATATTTGAATCACATCTACTTCTTTGACACCGATTGTTGACTCATCAGATCATTATGTGCTCTCTATATTTGGATCTCTGATTCTGGGGCCCACTACTGAAAAAAAAAAAAAACCCTAGATGCTCTAGGATTCTTCTTCCACATTTAGTCCTTTATTTAACTAGGTCGTGGCCAAGCTAAGTCAGGACTGCTCCTCAGATAATCCTTGAGGCAGTCTATTTCACACATTTATATATGCTTCACTGTGCTTGCCTGAAAAGCTCATACAAGCCCTACCTGCAGCCCCTTTTCTTTCTAGTAACTACCCACTGCTTTTAAGATTCATCCAGGGTTAAATTAAAGAGGCAGCCATCCATCAAACTCAAACTAATTCTTCACCATATTGCCAAGGCAAACATAGTATCCTCAGTATCCTCAGCTTTGAAATGGGGGACAAGAAAGTTGAAGAAATATGGTTTTTAAAAATATTTTCATTAACTTTTACCCATCTATGAAAAAAGGAGTAAATTACTTTAAGCCTATTTTGTATTAATATCTTCACCTATCAAAATACAAATTCAAATTCCATCCAGATTATTATGAGTTGGGTAAAAATGTATGAACCAAAATATCTAAATATAAATTAAAAAAAATTTTTTTTTATTTATTCAGAGAGAGAGAGAGAGGCAAAGACACAGGCGGAGGGAGAAGCAGGGACCATGCGGAGAGCCCGATGTGGGACTCGATCCTGGGTCTTCAGGATCACGCCCTGGGCTGCAGGCGGTGCTAAACCACTGAGCCACCCGGGCTGCCCTCTAACTATAAATTTAAGTTGTAGTTATATGAATGTGTATATCATTCCAACTCTGTGGAGGACAGGCATCAATGATGCTTGATAATAAAGGGACACTATTGGAATGCCCAGGTGGCTCAGTGGTTGAGTATCTGTCCTTGACTCAGGGCATGATCCCAGGGTCCTGGGATCCAGTCCCACATCGGGCTACTCATGGGGAGTCTGCTTTTCCCTCTGCCTCTCTCTCTCTCTCTCTCTCTCTCTTTCTCTCTCTCTCTGTGTCTCTCATGAATAAATAAAATATTTTTAAAAAATAAAGCGACACTATCCATGTGAGTATAAGAATATTCAGGGTCCGTTTTATATTTATAAAGTCTGGAGATTAAAGAAATTTTAGGCACTTTCCTTTAAAAATCAGGAGCTGAATAGCAATGAAAAAGAATAAATTCCTCCTATATCCAGCAATATTGATGAACTCCATAAATATATTGTGGGAAACAAAAGCAGATGCAAAAGAACACAAACTGTATAATTCCATTCATATGATATTCAATAAGGTGGGCTTTGAAAGGGAGTGAGAGAACCCTGTGAGATGCTGAAAGTGTTCTGTGTCTTCATCTAGATGACAGTTAAGTGGGGATACAGAAGTCTGTACAGGTTAGATATAATGAATGTTGATACATTAATGCACTTTACATACTTTATATATGTGTGCCCAATCAACCAATAAATTGCTCTTCAGTAAGGTATTAGGTAAATTTTGGTTAAATATTAATAGAACTTATTAATTTACAAATACTGATAGAATTGAAGTTTCATGACAGAAGGAACCATGTCTGTTTCACTTACCACTGGACACCTTCTCACTGGAGAAGAGTTTAACGGAGTCATTCAGCCAGATGACAGTGACAAGATGGAGGTGGGATACCATATCCCAGGAAACGAAGGACCATGAAGAGTCTAACAAGTCTCTCTTCCCTGTCCTCGGATGGTGGCAGGGAGCAACACCTTGTTTGAATTAGGGTACATGCCACACAACATATGGAGGGTTTAGTCTTTGAGCAGTTGGAATGAACATGTCTTTATAAGGACTGACATGCTTGTGAAAATGGCCTGTGGTCAGGCCACTTTGGGTAAAAGGCAGAGCCCAGATTTCCACCCAAGAGAAACCTACTCTCTAGAAAATACAAAAAAAAAAAAAATTGAGACTGACCGGGGGCTTTTGGGGCAATTGTCAAGATGAACCCCTCAAGCTGACATTGGATATAGGAGGGACTATGGAGAGAAGTAAAATGTTAATGGAATTTTATCAAGTTGTTGGCTGAATATGTGGTAAAACCTCTTCACCACTTCCTCTTTGCATTAAGTGAAATTTATGTTGTTTATTCATTTACAGAACATATTTCTTTGTAGGAAAATGGGTGTAAATGCTGGATCCTACTCTTAAGGTTAGCACTGATTGAAACTCTCTTAGTCCCTTTGGGCTGCTGTAACAGAAAACCATAAACTGGGTCTCTTATAAACAGAAATTTATTTCTCACAGTTCAGGAAGCTGGGAAGTCCAAGATCAAGGTGCCAGCACATTCAGTGTCTGGTAAGAGCCTGCTTCCTAGTTCATAGGAGGCCGTCTTGTGTTCTCAAAAGGCAAAAGGGGTGAGGAAGTTCTGGGCCTCTTTCTACAAGACACTAAGCCCATTTGTGAGAGCTCCATCCAATGACCTAATTACCTTCCAAAGATCCCACCTCCAAATACGAGGGCCCAAATGTTCAGTCTATACCAGAAGCCCAGACTACATGTGCAGATGGCCAATATCATTGCCTTCATTTAGTCTGCCATATTTTTAAGAATCTCTGAGGGGGAAAGAGATCAGGAGGACACAAAGAAAAAGGGAAATGATACAAATCAAATAGGGTAGGCTCCAGGAACTCTTGGCCTGAACTGAAGATGGCCCATGTAGTTAAGCTCTCCTGTGTCACGGTAATACTGATGGAATATGTATGAACCTGCCAAGCAGGAAGTAAGAAACAGAGTTTCTTTGTTCATTCCTGATGGAATGTTGAGAATAAACCATTGCTTTCAAGTTCTGGTTCCTCTCCGGATTTATTTGCAAGTCTCTATCCTTTATCAAAATCTTTTTTTTTTTTTTTCTTTTTCTCCAATTGTTTCAGCCTGGTCTTAAGCTGGGCTAGTTCAAGGCAAAAGGAGGTCCTGTTCTGAAGTTGGGCGAGAAATAACAAGGCAAGAGCACCTTCTTGTGGCTCAGTGGCAGGATAGCAAGAAATGTGAACTCCAGGATCTACCCTAGGGGAGAAATGCCAGGAAATGATTGGTGGATAGTGTAAGCTTTGGAGTTCTATTAAGGTAGGTGGCACTTTCCTTAGATCATTTCTTTAATGCCATACAGTTACAGACCATGAGGTCAGAAGTGCAGAGAAAATACAGTTTTTAAAGCCATGAATGTATTATAGCACTAAGACTATCATATGCAATTATTTTGTTGTCAATAAGCCATCAGATACATTAGAGTGATTTGTTTTGTCTTGCCTAAGTGTGTGACAGGAAAACAATGTTTAAATTGATATAGGTCGTCATCTTTACTAGCATTGTTGATCTAGAAGTGTTGCATAAACAATAGTAAGAGCTAGGACATTAGTCTATACTTTCAAATTGGGGCTCGAACATTTAAAAGTTTTTCACTGGCAGATTTTTTCACCATCTGTATACATTACAATCTATTTAATAAAAGAAACAATGAAATTAATTGTTTTGCCTTCTCCAGAATTTGCTTTAAGAGAAAAATCCTGAAATTGGTCCTGATTTCTGATGCCAGGAAATCAGGAAATGTAAGAGAATATTTAGCAATCAGAGTGGCTTAGCTCATGGTAATTGGCATATGTGCAATTATAATTTGCATTCCAGTTACTGAAGCTGAGAAAGCCTTGCTCAGGTTGAACATACGGTGAGTAGAAGATCTCTTTTTCTAAGAAATAAGATGGAGAGAGTCTTTGGAGAATGGCCTCACTGAACTGGTAAGTTAGCTTTCTCCGGATTTTGGTGATTTCCCCAGTTCTTCCATAATTCCTCAGTGCTCTGGCCATTTTCTGGTAAGTCATGGTCTTCCGGTTGCCTTTTCTTTTCCCCCAAAGTTGGGCAAGTTTTTCTTTGTTTTTTGACACAAACTGAAAGATGCCTTTGGTTTTATCTACCCACTGAATACAAGATGCCATCTCAGGATTGCACAGGGATTCATGAAGGTATTCGAATAGTCGGAGCTTCTTCCTGCCTAAAATGGAGAAAAACAACGTCAGACTTCACTGTGGCTACGTGTAAAGAACATCCTCGGGAAGGGTTTGTTGAGCGACTACAAAATTCAAAGCTGCATTGGGACTTGAAAGTCAAAGGTCTGTTTGGCCTATTGAAGTTTTTTTTTTAATAAATTTATTTTGTATTGGTGTTCAATTTGCCAACATATAGAAGAACACCCAGTGCTCATCCCATCAAGTGCCCCCCTCAGTGCCCGTCACCCAGTCACCCCCACCCCCCGCCCACCTCCCCTTCCACCACCTCTTGTTTTTTTCCCAGTTAGGAGTCACTCATGTTCTGTCTCCCTTTCTGATATTTCCCACTCATTTTTCTCCTTTCCCCTTTATTCCCTTTCACTATTTTTTATATTCCCCAAATGAATGAGACCATATAATGTTTGTCCTTCTCCGATTGACTAATTTCACTCAGCATAATACCCTCCAGTTCCATCCACGTCGAAGCAAATGGTGGGTATTTGTCGTTTCTGATGGCTGAGTAATATTCCATTGTATACATAAACCACAGCTTCTTTATTCATTCATCTTTCGATGGACACTGAGACTACTTCCAGTTTGACTATTGTGGACATTGCTGCTATAAACATCAGGGTGCAGGTGTCCCGGCATCTCATTGCATCTGTATCTTTGGGGTAAATCCCCAGCAGTGCAATTGCTAGGTCGTAGGACAGATCTATTTTCAATTGGACCTTTCTTTGTTAGGGATGTTGTAAAAATTTTTGTACTGTCCTTCCCTGAAGAAGGAAGCCTAAAACCTTTATCTGGATCTCCCATCTATCTGTCAGGTGGTCTCTCTTCACAATTAAATCTTGATTACTAGTTTTATGTCCTATGTCGGAACAATAAAACTGAGCAAAATGAACTGCAAAGCTTAATAGTTTTAAATAAAGAGAAGCCTCACACTTCTTTCTGATAAGAAAGCAAATAGGGCTTTATTCAAATGAGTTAAGTCAAATGAGGTAAGGAATGTGAATGTATTTTGTAAGATGCAAAATAGTATTCAAATATAAGGTAATATTAGTGAAAATAATAACAAAGACAGGTAAACAACAACAACAACTGTAGGTCTACGTTATGTGAAAAATAAAGATTAGAAAACACTGGAGTGGAAAATGCCAAAACATCTTCATGACATTCTGACATAATTTATGAGCAATGACAATGGGCATTGTGATATTTTTCATTGCTGTGAAATAAAATGATACTACCAAAATTTTTTTTTCGTTAGAAATACAGCCTTTTATATTTCAGAATGTCTAGACAGAAAACTTTAGGAGGATTTGCCATTGTGATTTTTGTTCAGTTGATTGGATGTCAGTGGACAACAGCCCAATTTGTGACTTGGAATTGGCCTGTAAATATGATGCCTTACCAGATCTGTCAGTAGCTAACACATCCATGGCCAAATTCCCTTTTTCCTTAGAGACAGTGGAATAGTGGATTCTCAAAATGCTTTGAATAGTCTCTGGAGAGTAATACTCTTGCATCAGTCATCATTCATCCCAAAACCTCAAAGGTTTTTAAGATTATCTTTTTGCCTTATATTATCTTGAATTTACGAATTGAGAAATGGAAGGGACTTACCAAAAAAAAAAAAAAAACACATTATAAATTAAAGTCACAGCCTTAAACAAACACTGTCTCTTATCCCCGTGGTTGAATCAATGATAATGGATCCTCACCTCTTAAAATTTACTTTCAATTTTGAAAAAAAAATTGTTAATTTTTATTGAAAGGTATTATGTGCTCAGAGTAAAAGATTCAAACAGAAGCACAAAGTGAAAGTAAAATTCCAGTCTATTCTGCTACATATTTTTTAAAATTAAAAAATATTTTTTTTTGCATATGAACATATGCATATCTTTTAAAAATACCAGTGGTATCATATTATTTTGCACTTTTTTTCACTAAGACACATAAATTAAATCAGAGGACCAACACAGAAATTAGCTATAGATGGTAAAATACCCAACTGTTGACAACGGTTACTTCTGAGACATAGTATAGGAAGAAAGAAGAACACTTACACTTATTCCTTGTGTATTTCTGAATCCTTTGAATTTTTAATAATGTGCATTATTACTTTTAAGTTATGGAATTAAAAAGGTTTAAAACAAAAAAATGTACTTTAGAGTTCTTTATCAATACATAAGATATGCTTTCATGTGTTTTAATAGCTATGTGTTCTGTTCTATGCATGTACTAGTTTTCTCTAGATAAAGAATCCCCAAATTTTGAATTTCATTCTGTTTCAAATGTATCCCTATTTCAGATAGAATATGAAACTTTAAGAACAGAAAATGGTGGATGATATATGTCCCATGCTGGCAAAGCTTCACAACATAAAACATCAATGAAAAGATAGAGACTTTACATCCTGGAGTGAGTCTGTATATTTAGAATTTTGTTCTAGGATACAGTATTCTAGGATGCAGAATATCAGAAAACTAGTTTTCCAAAAAAAATCATTGGAAAAAATTTAGAAAGTATGATGAAGTATCATTTTAAAAATTTCACTATAAAATTATGATGCACCTTACACATCTCTGTACCTTATACAGACTGTAGGTAAGTTTTACTACAACAACATTGCAAGGAATATCCTAATATATATAGGGTACACACACACACACACACACACACACACACCTTATGGTATCTTGAGAAATTATCCAGTGACAGGCTACGAGCATAATGTCTTACATGGGCTTTCTCACTTAATTTTCACAGCAATATTACAGTGTTTGTACAATTATCATTATTTGTTCTTTGAATGAGGACACTGTGGTACAAAAGGTTAAGTGACTTTCCCAGGCTCACACAACTCACCCAGAGTTTACACTCAATCACTCAGTTACATAGTCTTTAAGAGTCAAAGATATTAACATTTAAATTTTTGATCCTCATTGCCAAATTGCCTTAAAAAACTTTATGCCAAGTTACACTCCCTCCAAGAGCACATGTACACGTGTGTGGCCCACAAGGTAGCCAGCAGAGGCTACTATCCTGCTTTATCACTTTGCTCATCTGTTAGGTGAGATCATCATCATCTTAAATTTATGAAATCGACATTTCAAATTTATGAAATATTGAATAGTTATGGGACTTTATTTGCAGAAAACTTAATAGAGAAGACAACTTCTATGCCAAGGCTGTCACAATTAGAATAAGATTGCTAAAACAACTTTTGGAAAAGTTCCCCTTTCTATACCCTCAAATATATACACATTATCTTGAGTACAGATTTATTTGACTGGAGTGACACTTTGTAGCTTCACAACATTTCTATGAAGCAATAGGAAGGCTTCCCCAAGATGAACGGTTTAGAGTGGTTCAATCTGTCAGAGGTAAATTTTTCTTAATCTCAATATGAGAATACTTTGCAAATGCTGTTCTACAGTCAGATATGAAATACCTTTAAGGCTGCTTTGAAGAAGATTTAGTTCTTTTATCTATAAAAGGAGTGATGGATCCACATACCTTTTCCTCCCTTTTGATGGAGAACAGCAGGTTGTACCAGCTGGTTTTCGGGGATGTTTGGCAGAGACTGATGAATATTTCCTTCAAAATAGAGGTCTGCAGCACTGTTCTATATAAATAATGCAGCAGAATGTTAAGTGGGACTTTTCCTGTGGCCCCCAATTGATGGCTAACGTCAAACGCTGAGGACAAAAGGAGTGCTAAGCATCTCCCAAATTCTAAAAAGCACAATCCTCAACTGCAGCCAGATATCTCCCAGGGCACAACTAGCCTCACACCCACATAAAGAGAAGACCAAGGAATGAAAGGTATTCTGGCTTTATGAAGACTTTCATATCATCCCTTCCCTGTGAGAAAGAAGACAGGGATGCTTCCTTCTTCTCCATAAACACGCCCAGTGAGAAAGAAAATTTAAAGAATTATTAGTACAAAATTGAAGTGCCAGCAGAAAGAGGAAGATGGGCTTCTGTTCCTCTGTTGGATGCCCATCTGAGCAAGAGGAGACATGAGGAGAAAGATGGTAGCCAAGGGAGGGTAGAGCCAAGAGAGGGAGCGGAGGAAGCAGCCTGAGCTGTTACCATTGCATAGAGCAAGGATACGTGGGTCTCTATGGATTAATTCAACAAAGGTGGACTTGAACCATCTTACCATACCCCATATAAGAGGACTTCCCAGAGGCCAAGGAGTCCCCAACCACAAGAGGCTGTGATATAGACTGAGAAGTATGAACTGAAGGAGAAGCAGGGTTGCCAGATTTAGCAAATGAAAATATTTGGCATGCTGTATTTTACCGGCAACCCTAACTGGAAGTAGAAGAGGTTAAGCTGGAACAAACTCCCTCTTCAAAGAAATGTCTTGTGGAGAGGCCCTAACAGAACAATTTAGAGGGTCAGGAAAAGGACATTTGACATAGCACAGTTGAAGGTAATGACTGAAAAAAAAAAAGGAAAGAAAAGCCATTTCATATTTACACTGCACCACGTTAAGACAGGTGGCAATAAGAAAGCAATATGGATGGTGCAGTCCAATAACCATCCAACTCTTCGTTTTGGCTCAGGTAGTAATCGCAGGTTCATGGGATTGAGCCCTACGTCAGGCTCTGCGCTCAGCACAGAATCTGCTTGAGTTTCTCTCTCCCTTGTCCTTTGCCCCTCCCCCCATTCACTCACTCTCAAATAAATAAATAAATCTTTCTTTAAAAAATAAAACAATAAAAAGGACACATTAATAGAAAGATAGATGGCAGGGACACTTCGTTTGCAGGGAGTTATAACACTATCCCGAGAGTTGGTCCAAGACAGGTATGTAGCTAGCTCTGAGCTTGAGAAAGGAAACATCAGGTTGATACAAGACTGTAGGTAAAGCCAGTGCAGGGGAAGTTTGGGCTTTGCCCTATGGCTTATAGGAAAACCATCTTTTTTTGCAATTTTCAAGATAGATGAGAAGCAGTAATGAGAGAACCCTAAAAACACATCTTCATAGAGGACATTCAAACCCTCTGATGCTGGGCAATGACAAAGGGCAATTTCCTTCTTGACAGCATTGCTGGGAATCATCCATGCTGATGGTCAAGTCCACACCACTGGTCTGTGAGTGCTCGCACAGTCCCTGCTGTCGCTAAGCTGGGTTTCAGCTAGCAAAGACCAAGCGGAAGGCAGATGTGAGTAGGGAATTTGCCTGTTACTGGGAGATGGCCTTCTGGTACATGTACTCACTATTACTGTTCTCCAATTATAGACAGGTTCCTCTGTAGGCAGCACACCATAGCAGTTAGAATTTCCTCTGACATGAGAGCAGTGGTTGATGAAAGCCAGGTAATTTTTGTAATCTAATTTAAAAACAGAAACTGCAAAAGTCAAGGTTTATAATTGCTTGTGTGCATGCATGCAATGTGTATGTATGTTTGTGTATGCATACATGCTCATGTATGTGGTTGCTCCATCATGTGTTCTCCACTACTTTGCATTTTTCTACATTTATTGCATCATGCTGGTATCAGAGGCCTCTTACATATCCCATTTCCCTTACTGGAGCAGATTCCTTGTAAGCAGAGATCCCATGATCTCTTTTGTCTGGGAACTGCACGCAGTGCCCTGTATAAACGCAATAGGCAAGATACTTGCATTTCACCTACACTGTCTTCCCATAGTCTTTAGGGCAATAGGTGAGGAATGATAAGAATATTTATTCTTAAAAGAAAAGAATATTTATTCTTCTGAGTAGAATATCTCTTGTATGGAGGAAGGCCTAGAAGGTCAATTAGAATTAACTGAAAAGCCCGTTCTGAGCAGTTAAAATTATCTATTAGATAAATATCAACCAGACATGCTTAAAAGCAAATTTTAGGTGCTAGTATTCCTATGTGAAATGCCATTCTCTGTTTCTTTGCATTTTCATATGTGACACTTTAAATTTGCATAGGCTCAGTAGCCCTGGAAGATTTTTGCCTTTGTTAGATTCAGTCCTAGATGCACTAATAAAAATGGTCTTCCCTTTTCTGATAATCATTCTTATGTCTGTGTAACCAAGAAGACTTCTGGTGTATCCGTGAGAGAACGGCACTGACATCTTTACCTGGGGAGTACTGAAGATCTCCGGTTGAATGTTGCCTCAGTACCTCAAAAGCATCTTCAAAGGCTTGTCCCAGCTTGTCTTGTTCAACACAGGACTGCTAGAACAATAGGAGAACCCTCAAGTTATGAAATTATTGATTGAACTTAATTTCTCTGACATACATGAGGGTTTCTCACTCACAGCAGTATTGACCTGTGAGGTTGGTTAAGTATTTGCTGTGGGGAGTCTGTCATGCGCTGTAGGGTATCTACCAGCATCCCTTGTCTCTACCCACTGGATACCAGCAGCACTCGCACAGCTCTGACCGTTGAAAATGTCTCAGACATCACCAAATATATCTCAGGGGACAAAAATGAACCCTGATTGAGATCCACTGCTCTATAATATGTAGTATCTAGAGAACAGGATTAATTCTATAGTATTTAACATTCTTGTGAAAGTTTACTAAGGAGTTGTAATAGCAGGAGACTGGGAAAAGGGATCAAGGAAATAGCTTTAATGAAACAGAATCTGAATCGCTGCTTAAAATGGAATGCTCCTGATTTCAAAAGCATGTCTCCAAGACTAAAATTAAACTTTTTTTTTAAGATTTTATTTATTTATTTGAGACAGAAGGGAGAGAGAGAGAGCACATGAACAGGGAGAGCTAAAGGAAGAGGGAGGAAGAATCTGAAGTAGACACCATACTGAGTATGGAGACCCATGTGGGGCTCAATCCCACCTCCGTCAGATCATGACCAGAGCTGAAACCAAGAGTCCAGCCCTTAACTGACTGAGCTACCTGGGTGCCCCCAAATTAAACTGTTTTGCAAACCATTTCATACCCTTATAATCTGATCCATATATTTTATTTTCAAAAGAGGATACTCATCCTTCAAAGAGGATGTTCATCCTCCAAGTCATCCAAAGATTTTAAAATGCCAACTTACCATGCTTCATTAACATATATATATTGACAATTCTGAAAAAGATTAATAAATAAAACAAAATTAATAGTGTATTTAATTTACCTCTAAATTAAAAGATATAATTTCTGAAAATAACTCGTATGAACCAAAAAGTACCATCTGAAGTCTCTTTAATGAGTACACATTTTTCTTTTTAAAAAATTCCCTACAAACTATTTTTTGCTTTTTTATTATTACAAAACTGTTTTGGATGTTAAAATAGCTAGAGCTAATTACCTAAATTGCCTAACTTATAAGAGAATATAAACATAACTTGGGAGAATATTTCAAAATTCTTTTAAGAGAGTGCCTGGCTGGCTGAGTCTGTCAGCCTACTAATAATCTGGTGAATAGACTTTTTCTCTCTTGAAATGTGAATCTACATTACAAATAAAATTTACCCTGTAAAATCCATCCGTTGACTTTCTAAAATCCTAGGATAGGAACCCTGGTCTACTTTCTTATCCCTGTAAATTAGATTTCGCTTTAAATAAACAATGATCACACAGACCCATGTTAAATGTTTTTTTTTTTCTAAAAAAAGATTGAAGTCCTACAGAACTAAAAACAAACAAATCAAGATAAGAAAGCACATGTGGTTGGTCCAACATTGCTTACCATTTTATTTAGCACAAGCAACTCTGTTTACACAAGTTAAGATTTACTGTGTAAACACAGTGAGCTTACTCATTAACACTGCAGAATACAAAGAGATGATATAATCCAACACCCGATATTATTATACATATCCATCAATATAATAATTACATCAAATAATATGCGGAACATTGAAATTCTGTTCTGCTCTTTGAAATCACAATATCATGTCAGTTACAAGAAAACATGAGAAAAAAATCCCTAAAAAAGGTAACTGTGTGAGATGATGGAAATGTTAAGTAATCTTACTGTGGTTATCATTTCATAATATATTCGTATGTCAAATCATCACATTTTTTCACAATTTTATATGTCACAATTTTATATGTCAAATTATATCTCAAAAAAGCTAGAAGACAGCTTTCTAATGTGAGAGATGTTGAACAATTTAGCAAAAACTTAAAAAAAAAAAAAAGAAAACCCATAAGTCATTGTCTGAGCTATGGTCCCTAATGAATATTATCAGTATATGTATTTTCTAAAAGTCGTGTCAATGACTTTCAATTATGCCTCAACTCACAAGCACCGAAGCAAATATGAGTATTGTACTTTGAATCAAATACATAAATGACTTTGACTAAAATACTCCACAAAATTATCACAACTGTCACAACTCTTAAAAAGTAGCAAACGCAAAGGGAAGAAAAAAGCTCAAAAATGTTATTGATTACTGGAATCGCTTAATATTCTTGTATCTGAACAGTCAACGAAAAACATTCTTTAGGCCAAAGAGAAAATTATCACAGGGTATTTTGAAAAACAGAAGCTAAACACTTACCAGGAAGACACTTCAACCCTTCACGAAGATGTTTCATTAATATCAGAATCGTTAAGACAGAACTGTCAAGAACTCGCTGGCAGAGTTGCATTAAATAGCTGTTTTTAAGGAAGTGCTACAAAAGGGGATTTTTTTTAAAAGATACAGTGTCCTCATGATTTCTATTTCAATATACAACCAATAGATACCACGGGCTATTATTTTGAAGAGACACATAGAAGTTTATATCCCATGGGCCAGAAGCATCCAGAACAATCCCCATGAATCCCCCACCCAGCACAAACTGCAATGCCTCTTGCCTCCTACTGCCCACCGGGAAACTCTGACCTACACAACTCTCATCTTTTTTTTTTTTTTTTTATTCCTGGTTTCCACCACCCAGCCCCCACCCCTAATTCTAGACCCTTTGTTGCCTTTCTCGCTCTGGACTTCCCTAATGGGTCTCTTTCCTCTCAAACAACTTCACTCATCCTGACCACCTTAGTTAGAGATCTCAAAGGCGTAGGCTCTTGTCCTGGCATTTGAGGTTCCTCATTCCAATCTTAGCCTTATTTACCACCACTCGTTTAGGAGAAGGAAATAGAGTCCATGCTATGGTCTTCTATCTGTCCTTAAGTCTTTCCTCCATACCTAAATCCAGTAAAGGCTCCCAAACAGTCAGGAATGGTCCGTGCATGGTGATCGTGATACACCTGAAGCTGCTGATCTGTAGAGAGGCTTGGTTCTCTTACTTAGCTAGAAGTTCTATTGGATATGGGTTTTGGTGGCTCTGATGGAAATCACGAGGCGCTCCCCCCACCCATAATGTGGCTTTCCCAGTCCCTTCATCTGCCCAGTTACCCATTCCATTTTACCTGTCCATCGGAGTCTGAACTAGCGTCCACATGTACCAGGCAGAAATAACTTTCCCTTCTGGAACACGTCTCTGTCCCAAACTCACCTAACCACAACCGTCTACCATTTTAAGAGATGTCACATTTTGCCAGGGGGAAATCCACCTAAGAATTTTTTGTAAACCTTTTGGGTGGGGAGAGATTTTCTGTTTTGCATTGTTGGAATCTGAGCTCACCTTTGATATGGGACTATTGTTCTAGACTATTTACTTTTTTGACCCAATTTGTTATGCAAATGTAAACACATCCCCTCTTCTGAAATGTAGATGTTATAGTAACTAGTGTATAAAACTGTAATCACTAATGTTGAGGAGGTTATCTCTACCATTGCCAAGTCTACGCCCTCCGCTTTGTTCCATTTGATTAATTTATTTAACAAGCATGTATTTCTGAGCTTTTTTTCTCTCCTGGACACTGTCCAGTGTCCAGGGACTATAGCCCTGAACAAAGTATAATGAGGAGAAATTATATTTTTTTTGAAATGACATTTTTTTAAAGCAAACTAAACAAGTGTTAAATAATGAGGACCAAGAAAATGATAAGAGAAAGGTGATAGAGAGTATGCAGTCGTGATGAATGGTCACGAAAGGTCTCTGAGGAGAGAATGTGTGTGGGCTGAAATCTAGCAACAAGAAAGGGTGAGCAAAAGAAATGCAGGGATGCAAAGATCCAGGGAAGTACCTCCTGGCAGAGGAAACAAGGTATTAAAGACCCTTAGAAATGAGTATGGTGTAGTCAAGGCATAAGAAGAAAGCCATGGGGGCTCAAGCAAAGTGATCCTGGGGGCTGAGAGAAAGGATCCAGATCAACTACACAAGCCAGAAGAACCAAAAAATATATCAAAAGATTCTAAAAAAATTGCACATGACTGTAGTTGGCCTGCTTAGCTCCATTTTACAGATGAGCAATCTACACTGAGGCTCAAAAATGCTTCATGATTTTTCCTAAGGTCCATTGCTGGTGAGAGACAGCTTGCGTTGGTTCTAGATTTGGGCCCAGGTAACTTCACAAGCACACTTTCAACGGCCACTCTGGGCCCTGTGTCTGCAGTTTAGGTTCCATTTGCCCAGGCTTCTTGGTTTTCATGGAAGGCTCCATAGCACCCAGCAGATACTCACAGGGGTGCAAGCTTGATACATATTTGGAGTGAATGTAAAAAGTAAGTGAACTTTCTAAGCCACTATTTTCCCAAATGGTGTCTCCAAAGTTTTATTCTGCAAAATATTAATAAATGGATGTTGAAAAAGAACTGAATGGTAGTAAGATTTGCTGTTTAGAGCTTCTTCAGCCAGACTTAGTTTATAGAGTATATGACTCTTGATCATGGGGTTGTGAGTTTCAAGCCCCACATTGTGGGATAGATTATACTTAAAAAAAATCTGGGGTGCTGGGTGGCTTAGATGGTTAAGCTTTTGGTTTCAGCTCACGTCATGATCTCAGGATCATGAGATTGAGCTCCATGTGGGACTCTGGGCTCTGTGTAGAGTCTGCTTGACATTCTCCCTCTCCCTCTTACTAAAAGAGATAAATAAAATAAACCTTGAAAAGGAAATCTTTAAGAACTTCTTCAACCAGAGCAATGAGCACATTGATTTTTTTTTTTTTTTGGACACATCCCAATATTAAAGAAGAGAAAACAGAAACACAGTTTTGGGTCTTTGTAGGGCTAAGATGTAAAAGCACTTTCAGCAACTTGAAAAGATGATGCATGTCCTTTTTGCATTTTAGATGGTAAGGCTTCTCTATTCCTTGAGAGTCTACTGAAAGCTGGGAGTTCTGTCCCCAGGAGAATGCTTTCAGCACACATTGTCAGGCAACTCTTCAAGTAGGGCCAACAGACTTCAGTTTAGGAACTCCTGCTATAGTGTATTTTCAAAACCTTCTTATATAAGGTCTAAGTACTGCTTCTGAAGACATGCGTACCCAATAGACACACATACACAGAACATCTTTATTGAGGCGGACAGCAACGGTTCCCTGAACACCAGAAGTGAGCTGAGAAACAGGAGCTCAAAAGAGAGGATTCCTGATCGATGAAACCTCTTTTGCAG